CCCCCCGGGACCCCTTCCCTCCCCGCGCCCCCGCTCCCTCAGCACCCCTGGGATCCCCGGGGAGCCTTTCCGGGGCCGCCCCAGGCAGCGCTGCGCGTTCCCGCAGGAGAAGCGCGTCGCCCGCTACCCCTTCCAGTGGACCCTGATGGAGCGAGACAGGCGGATCTCGGGTGTCAACAAGTACTACGTCTCCAAGGCAGGTGCTCGGGGCGGGGAACCGGGAGCCCTGGGCTGCTCCCAGGGGTCCCACAGCCCTGCAGGGGGCACGGGCGGCCCTGGGGGCTGCTTGAGCTCCCTCTGAGGGGATCTGCCTTGTTCTTTTAACTGGGACTTGGGTACTTAAGAAGCATAGTTTGAACACCTGTATTTCCAGCTCTGGCTTCTGGCAAGTCAGCAGCAAGAACAGTGCAGACACAGATGTTACTTTTTCTTTTTCAGGGTCTGGAGAACATTGACTAAGGTGGCAGCACTTTGAAGAAACCACATACCTATATAAAATGATTTAAGTCTTTAATAAAGATATCTACGTATTCAAGCTGTGTCTGTGTTGGTGTGATGGGCTGACCCCAGCTGGACACCAGGTGCCCACCACAGCTGCTCTTATCACCCCCCTACTCAGTGGAACAAGAGGGGAAGAATAAAACACGTATCTTGTGGGTCAGGATAAGGACAGGGAGGGATCACTCAGCAACTGCTGTCATGGGCAACACAGCCTCGACTTGGGGAAATTAGCTGAGCTTCTTACCAATCTAATCAGAGCAGGGTAATGAGAAATAAAATCAAATCTTAAACCACCTCTGCCCAGCCCTCCCTTCTTCCTGGGCTCATCTTCACTCACCATTTCTCTACCCACAGTGGTGCTGGGTGACGGGTCTTGGCATCAATTCATCACACGTTGTCTCTGCTGCTCCCTCCTCCTCACACTCTTCCTCTGCTCCATTGTGGGGACCCTCCCATGGGAGACAGTTATCCACAGGCTGCTCCAGCGTGAAGTCCCCTGCAGGGTCACAAATCCTGCCAGCAAAACTGATCCAGCATGGGCTTCTCATTCTATGGGTCCAAAGTCCTCCCAGGGACCTTTGCTAGCACAGGCTTCCCGTGGGATCACAGCCTTCTCGGGGCACCCACGTGCTCTGGTGTGGGGTCCCCCCAGGCTGCAGGAGGGTATCTGCTGCACCACTAACCTGCCTGGGTTGTATCATCTGCTGAGCCTCAGTATTGTGGCAACTGTGGGCAGCAGAGACCAAATAACTCGGAGTGAGGCTGAAGCAAGGGAGAATTTTCTAAAGTCTAGGACTCCACCTGGTCTGTTCCACCACCAGCCAAATAGTCCACTGGGCTGGAGGAATAGGTACCATGGAATGAGAACAGTCGATAATGGACTGAGCTTGTTTGGCAGAGCACGGGGCCTGGGGGACTGCCAGAAACCTGGCAAACAGGATCTGGCAGGATCCCACATCTTTTGTCCTCCTACTGCCTGCCGCCTCCCGGATAAGATGGCTGCTGGGGAGGAATTCCCCCAAGTCCTCGGTCCAGAGGGCCCCCCCGGGGACCCAGGAGCCCGGCGCTGCCGTTGCTGCCTTGCCGTGGCAACACCAACCAAACACGCCAGGGATTGGCCGGTGCCGGGGGAGCCACTCCCTGAGTCTCAAGTGAAAGGAGAGGCCAGTGACACTGCCAGGGCCCCAGCACAGCTGCCTGGCCACCCGTGTCTGGAACCAGACTCCTTTGGGCTGCTACTTGCCTGGCCAGGAGCGTTTGGAAGCCACAGCAACTGCTGTGGGCAGTTAGGGCGGGCTGAGGGGAGGGCAGTTAGGGAATGAGGGCTCAGAGAGGGAGACGGGCCTGTTGCTCTTCCTGCTGTCTCAGAACCCCCACCCAGATCAGCCTGAAGTTTTTCAGATGTGTCCCACAGCTCTGAAGACCAACCCTCTCTCTCAAGGTATTTGTGTGTTTCTCTTCCTAAAGGTGAAGACAACAGACAAGAGAGCAGAAAATGCTGCCAGTGATGAAAACCCTACATCCTGATAGAAAACAGGAGCAGCACAGAGGAGCATCTTCCACAGCAGAAGAAAGCCAAAGGTAGGGTGCCTGCTCTACTTGCGTGTGTCAGGGTCTTCCCAGAAGGATTTATCAGCATTTTATCTATTTCAGAAACCAAATGAAAAACATCAAATGGCTCACAGGCAACAACTTCACAGTGGAGGGAGGACAGCAGCAGATTGAAGAAGTCATTTCTGTGAGTGACAATTCCACCCACTCAGTAAGGTCACACCTTATGACTGTTGAGAAGTGGGAAAAATTAAAAGAAACCAGCACCTCAGATCCTTTTTAGCACCTCTCTCAAGTCACCTCTGCTAGAGAGAGGGAATCTTAGTGTTGTGTTTGTTCTGTAGACATGGGTGGTTCACGAGAGCTGGCTTCACTGGACAGAATTTCTCCAGGAAGAAGAACAGGAGGACAGGAAGAGGTACCACTACAGAGTTTGCTGGAGCATGCCAACACGCAGGAAACCCATCCCACGAGCAACAGCAAGTGTCTACTTCGTTATAGAGATCTCCAAAATTAAACCTGCTGTAAGTGTTCAGAAATAGCATGCACCAGTCCCTTAAGGGGGGAACAAGGAGGTCCCTGAGCTAGGGAAATGCCAGGGCAGCAGAGACCAGCCAGAGCAGGAAACTCAGGAGAGATGCTGATGAGGCCTGGGCATCACCAGAGCAACAGTGGGAAATTTAAAACATGGTGGAACTAGCAGTCAGTGCCTCCCCTGCTGACCTCTCCAGTAGTTTTATTGCTGAGCATGATGTCCTATGCTCTGGGATATCCCTTTGGTCAGTTTGGGTCAGCTGTCCTGGCTGTGTCACCCTCCAACTTCTCATGCACCTCCAGCCCACTCACTGGTGAGGTGGGGTGAGGAGCACAAGAGGCCTCAGCTCTGTGCAAGCTCTGCTCAATGATAATTAAACCATCCTTGTGTTATCAACACAGCCCTCAGCACAAATCCAAACCACAGCCCACACCAACTACTATGAAAAAAATTAACTCTGTCCCAGCCAAAACCAGCACAGCAGTTCATAGACACTGCTCAGAAATCCTATATCCTAGCACAAGCTTAAAATTCTAACACTTGAGACTTTGCTTTCACAAGAGAATACTCAGAGGCTTTAAACCAAAACTATTCTAAACAATATCAGATATGTTGTACAAACGCACAGGTTATTTTTGAGAAAGTAGATAGCAGCGTTCACCTAATTACAGTATCTGCTTTTTAAGGTCCTGTATGTCAACTCTGCCCTCCCTGCCTCTCCTCTCTTGCAGACCTCGCCTGTGGAGGTTTTCTTTAATCTGGAGTGCAGCAGGCTTATTCACAGGTAAATGTAATTACTCCTCCATCACTAACACAGCCTGGGAGCTTCTAGCAAGCTCTTCCATGCCAAAAAAAAACCTGAGAGGTTGATGCAAGTAAGTTTGCAATAATAGCAGAGAGGTGGAGGAAGCTGTCAAAAATCTTGCTACACAAATCCAAACAACCCTGCTTCCCATTAGCTTCACTCCACCACACGCATAGACAGCCACCCCATGAGCATCTGCCTACTCCATAATGGATTTGTCCTGGGTTTACACAGGTCTTTTTTTCAGCTGACAGGCTTGCCCTGTAAAGAAAGACCAGCTGGACAAATTTGGATTCAATATTATTCTTACCATTCACCCTCTTTTTATTCCATCCTCCAGGGCAGAAAAGTGTCGCTTTAATGAAAAGTGGCTTAAGGACATCATTGAAAATAAAATAATCCTCATGGAAAGACCTGCTTCCCAATGAACAGCTCTAATGCACCATCACCAATGCATTGTGGAGAATCAAATACACACGATGAAGAAAGAATGGCTCTTCCTGATTAGCATTTCTGCTTCGTGGATACGTTAAAATTGTGGATACATTGAAATTGTTCAATCTGTGCAAAATCAACTACAGCCTGACCTGGCAGCTGGCTCCACATGAAGGTCTCTTGCAGGTATGGGTGGGTACAGCAGGAGGGAACCAGGTTCTAGAGTGTAAATGGTAAGAGGCAGCTGGGCTGGACTTGCTGTTTGCAAATTCCAGGGTAAAACTTACAGGATTTTTATTTTCTTTATACAAATACACAAGACATCTCTGCTGCCGAAACTACACGTGCTCACTTGGCATCGGCTTGTGACACTACAACACAGAGATGTAGGGGAAAAAAAAAAGTCCCTCTAGGAAACACTTTGTTTTTAAAAGCATTTGAGAAAAAGAAGGCTAAGGAGGATATGTTTGGAAAGAGGCAGTTGAATTACAAACAATCCCCCAGAAGCACCACCCAGAGCAGGCCTCTGAGTACAGAGTTTAATGACAGCCAAGTAATACTGCTGAAACAAACCAAATTAAAATACCACAGAAGTTAAAATAAAGTTTTAATCTACAACACTTCCATAGAGGAAAAAAATAAAACCAAGTAAATGGAAAGATACATCCTTGTCACCACCTGTGTAACACCAGTGGTTCCAGTCACTGCACCCCACTGCTCTGACACCTATGTATAACATAGGGGAAAAGGAAGCAAGCAGCTCAGTTCTTCACCACGGGCTGTGGTGGACTGGAGATCAGACCCAACATCACTATACTTAGACCCCAACTGCGATCTGCTTGCTTTAACAGAACTGAAGCCCATCTGTATTAAATTACAAAATAATTTCTATTTACAAGTCTAGTTTGAACCACAAACCAAAGTCAACTGTTTTGAGAAAAAAAAAATAATTAAAGACTGATGAAAAAATACGTACGTGGACAGTCTGTCTTATACAGGAACTTAGAAGTGCCTTCATTTTTGCTGCTGTTACTAGTAGTTTGCTTTTGATGGTCAGTCTACTCTCATTAGGCAAAATAAATGGAAAATTTCACTTATCAGCTTCAGGTAACAAAGCCCTCCTATGGAATCCTCCTGCTTGTCTGATTCAAAGCAAGCACAGAACACTGGCAGCTCTCATCTTCTCTGCCTGTTCTGCCTTTTCTGCCTTGTAGCCTTTCACTTTACAGGGATACCTTGCAGACACTCAACAAATCATAAATCTGACAAGAGTAACTGTTTCCTTGACACCTGTAATCCACTCCTGAGGCTTGGCCCTGTTGGGTGAAAGGCACTGCAGCACTTGCAGCTTTTATCGAATGGCGCCTGGAACAGGTTAGCTCCTGCTTGGTAGAATTTAGGGAATGCAGCTCAAATGAGGAATTATTTTTCCTCCTTGCCCTTAGTCTTTCTGTAGACCATCTCTCGGAAGCTCGCAAGGATCTTATTCTCTCGTTTCCTCCTCTCCTCCTGGTTAAAGGATGCCAGAGCTCTCTTCTCATCCGCGCTGTAGATCTGGTTCTCCTTGCGCAGACGCACGGCTTCCATTCGGCGGTGCCTGCGGGGGGGAAGGGGGAGTGAGTGCATCAGCACGGGCTGGGGGTGCAGAGCCAACAGAGGAGGCAGCTCTGGCAAATGTCACTGAACCATCCCCATCACCTAAACCATACCTGCTGCCACTCATGACATAACCAGAGCTCTCAAATGATGCGATCTCTTCACTGGTCAAGCCGATCTCACCTCTCCGGGGAATCCGTTTTCCTGCCTTCACATACTCTGCCATTGCTGCCCCTTCACCGGGCAAGAGGGCATGTCCATAGCTTAAAAAAAACACAACAAAAGCAGTGATTTCAACCAGTCCCAAACACAGAGAGTGGGAGCTAAACACCCAACGTCCCTATTCACTACTTGCTACAGGACTTTCTTATTCTTTCCCACACATTGACCTGTTTTGTCCTTATGGCTGACACTAGCAACACTTTAAATCACCAGGTGATTCTATTCTGATTAAACAGTAATGAAGGTACTTCCACCTTGATTTATTTGATTTGATCAAAGCACTGTTAAGAGCTGGCTACTCACTTCAAGGGCCTGTCATCCTGAGATGCATGGGTTTTGGGAGCTTCTGGGCCAATCAAGCTATCAGCTTCTGTATTTTCTGCAACAATTGAATAATGAGGAAGATTAATATTGTTCCAATTGTTCTTTGTTATCAGAAGAGTTACACAGGTCAGCAACACTTAACAATCGACAAAAAGGACACCAAAAAGTTTCAATCCAAGTATAAAGTCAGGTGAACCTACTTGATCTCTCAATCCAGAGATCTTCCCCTTGAATGGTTTCATCATCAGAATCTTCACTACTTGAATCACTGGATTCCTTCCTGCTCTTCTTATTTTTCTTCTTCTTATACTTCTTCCTGTGATAAAAGTCAAAGACAGGCTGTTTAAAATTATTCGACAGCATTTATAGCCCTAACCAGTAGTGCTCAGGCTTCCTCACTACCTGCTGAAAAAGTGGTGCTGCCCTCTAGTAGAAAGCAACTCGAATTACAAACAAGCTGGAAACTTACTTTCTGCTCTTCTTTTTCTTCTTCTTGCTTTTCTTTTTATCTTCATCTGAAAAAAAAAAAATAAAGAAAGAAAGGGTATATATATTAAAAAGTATATATATTATTAGCTATAACTAAGTAGTTTGCTGCACGGTGAATAACTCACTGCCTCCACCAGCATGCCTTACAACACAGCTGCCCAGAGGGGACCAGTTTAGCTTTCAGATACTGAGGAAGCCTCAGCAGAAAGCTGCCAGCAGTATTGTTCTGTGTGAGAACAGACCAAACGTGTTTTTGGCACGAGACACCCAGTGGGAGCTAAGTGCAGCAATCGTGCTTCCTGAGGCCTGCCTGCCAGCACGATGGGCACTGCCAACCCAGCAAGATGGCGAGAGGAGACCAACAGATTGATGCTGCAGCCTTCTAGCTTTGATCGCTGCAGGTGTGCAGCAAGTGCCAGAAGTGCCCCTGCATGTCCAGAGGGGCAGAAGCAGAGCTCCACAGCACACACACCAGCCCAAACCCTCTTCTCTTACCACTGGAGTTCTGGTCCGACTCCGACTCGCTGTCGCTGTCCTCAGAGTGTTTCCTGCGCTTTCTTTTGGACGCCTTCCGCTTCTTCTTCTTCCTTTTCTTTTTCTTCTTCTTTTTCTCCTCTAAAAATGTTTTCAAAAGGTAGCATTAGAGAACAGAGATCTGCTAGCTCCATCTTTATTTTCTGACCTTCCCAAAACAACGCTCTCCCTTGAACTGGAGCCCACCACACTGTCTTCCACCTGTCAGTCAGTCACCCTCCCAGGCAACAGCAGCAGATTCCAGACATCAGTAGCTTCCCACTTTTGAAACAAGCTGTATAAACAAAACAAAATACCTTCTGAGCTCGAATCTGAAGAACTACTCTGAGATTTTGCCTCCTCGTCTTCTACCGGTGTATGCTCATCTGAACTGAATAAAAATAAAAATTGGCCATTTAAAATCCACTTTGTAGTGACAAGACCAAAGGCACACGTGTGACATAAAGGTGTGTGTGCAGATTTGCAATCAATTCTTGCAATAAACTATCACACGGCTAATTTGCAGCATGGGAAATGCTCTCAGAATGTCCTGGTTTGAGATACTATACACAAAGGGCACCTGACCTACAAAAAATCATATCCTGCATTATTGGTATGTTGGAATTATTTGGGAAAAAGTCATAATCTCATTATGTCAATTGAGCAATGAACTGACACAACACGAATTGTGGCAAAGGGACTAGCACCAGGATGAGATGATTGTCTAAATTAAACTGACATAGGTATCAAATATCATCAAGACCAGAAGGAAGCATGCGCCTTACTCAGGGTCAGGAACCTTTGGTGACAGTCCCCAGACTTCAGGTGCTCCCAGTTCTCCAATCCTCTCTCTCTCATTGAGCCTCCTGTAATGAGAAGACCTCCCTGAGTCCCGTGTGCTACTCCCAGCACATCAGCACTGCAGGCCTGATTCCCATCACCTTCTAACCACCTAAAGCAGCCACAGCCAGGAGAATCATGGAGTCATCATGGTTGGAAAGGAGCTCTGAGATCACCGAGCCCAACTATTAGGCATGCACACACACAAATACACAAAAACCAAAACAAAAAGCAAAAAAACCCCAAAACCAATCCAGACACTCCACTAAAAAACAGCAGCAACAACAACAACAACAAAAAAAACACAAAAATCCCCCCACAACTTCGGCCACTAGAGCAGACCCTGAAGTTCCACATCTGCACATTTCTTGAGTACCTCCAAGGATGGTGATTCAACCACCTCCCTGGGCAGGCTGTTCAACTCTTTCAATTAAGAAATTCTTCCTAAACCTCCCCTGCCACAGCTTCAGGCCACTTCCTCTGGTCGTGGCGTTAATTCCCTTGGGAGAACAGGGCAACACCCACCTCCCTACAACCTCCTTTCAGGTAGCTGTAGAGGGCAGTGAGGTCTCCCCTCAGCCTCCTCTTCTCCAAACTAAACAGCCCCAGCTCCCTCAGCCTCTCCTGGAACGCCCTGGTCTTTCAGCAGCGCTGGGGGTGCTGCCTGGCGGCTGTGCCCGAGCTGCAGGGCTCAGCGCCCGGCCTGTCCAGGTCCCTCCGCAGAGCCTTTCTACCCTCCAGCACATCAGCACTTCCACCCAGCCTGGTGTCACCCCCAGACCTCCTGAGGGTGCCCCTCGCCCGGATCACTGACAGGGGTGTTGAGCAAGGCCGGCGCCAAGCCCAGCACCGCGGGACACGCCCGGTGCCCGCCCGCCAACCGGGTTTCACCCCGTCTAACACAGCTCCCCGGGCCCGGCC